CCACTCTGCTCTCGTCTTGTCTCTTATGAAAAAATGGTAGGTGTAACCTTATAAGGTTACACCTACTATTTTTTCTTTCCATTGCTCGCTGCGTCGTCTTCAATTTAAGCTGAACCCTCTTTGTAAGTCTCCAGGTCTCTGCTCCGTAGCTAAGTACCGGCAAGATACAGCTATTATACACCTTCCTCTCTAGATTCCCAGAGAAGGCAAGCGGATTAGGGGGAGACAGAAGGTTAGGTGGGCAGATGAGATTAAGAAGTTTGCGGGTATAAATTGGCAGCAGCAAGCACAGGACCGGGTTAACTGGCGGAACATGGGAGAGGCCTTTGTCCTGCAGTGGACGTAGTCAGGCTGATGATGATGATGATGATGCTCGTTACGAGAGGCCAGGCGGTGATAAACACATTTGGATTCCTGCTAAGACGAGACCCTTCCGTCGCCTTCACCGGATAGCTCAATAATAAAAGTTTTGCATTCCTTCATTTAAATCAATGGCGGAGTATTCAGGACATCACACGAGCTCGCTAGACACCGCATAGACGGCACTGTGTCAAATACGCACGTGAAGAGGAGGCTCCAAAATGCAAGTGTACGATGCCGACGTAACACGGTAATAAAGGGTTCATGATACTACTGATGGCACCAAGGGTCGCTCCAAAGAATGCCGCAAGGGGATCATCACGCATGGACAGCTTCGGTGAACGGCCATTTCCATTCTGAGGATGGGCCATAGACTTTCCCCTCTGCATCTCTCTCTTTCTAGTCGTGGATAAAGGTGCAGCAAGGTTAAGATTAGCACGTCCACTGTAATTAAAAACAGTTTCAGAATCTACGGTGCATCCCGGCTGGCCCACTCACGTCGCCAGTACAGTAACACAAGACGTGCAAAGACGCCGCAGAAATTATTATTATTATTATTATTATTATTATTATTATTATTATTATTATTATTATTATTATTATTATTATTATTATTATTATTATTATTATTATTATTATTATTATTATTATTACCGGTACTGCAGTTACCTGGTTTACTGATGTTCGTGCTCTGCAGATGCCGGAGCTAGCTTAACGCTTAAGACGCTTGTCTTTTGAGCGGAGGAGCTAAGTTTGACTGCCAACACTATATGAAAGTTCATTTTGATTGATTGATATGTGGGGTTTAACGTCCCAAAACCACTATATGATTATGAGAGACGCCGTTGTGGAGGGCTCCGGAAATTTCGACCACCTGGGGTTCTTTAACGTGCACCCAAATCTGAGCACACGGGCCTACAACATTTCCGCCTCCATCGGAAATGCAGCCGCCGCAGCCGGGATTTGAACCCGCGCCCTGCAGGTCAGCAGCCGAGTACCTTAGCCACTAGACCACCGCGGCGGGGCAAAAAGTTCATTTTATAATAAACAATAAACAGTGTGTTTCATAGTTTTTTTATTGTTTATATCCGTTCTACGTCACATAAACACGGAGAGACACGCAATTTTAGTCGTGCATTGCGTTGGGTAACGACGCTCTACCCATCGTCACTGCAGAACAATGGACCATTCCACAAGGTTTTCAGCGTATCGAAAGAATGCGACAATGCGCTCAGTTCGTTCGATTACGCAAACGTCCGACCATACCCCATTGCTTACGGTCATCGGGACAATGGTCTTTACAATGAGCGAAACATGAGGCAAGGGTTTCCCTGACGCACTGGCTTTCCCGCAATAGATGGTCGAAATTAGTAAAAAAAGAGATGAGGCCCTTTTCACCCCTGATAAGGCCCATATCACCCCTGATAAGGCCCAAATTTTGTCTGACGTCACGTCTTGTCACGTGGGCGTACTGTAGGTTTGTTTCGAGCTAAAGGTTACCCCTGAGAAGTTGGCTTCTGCTCAATACATGGTCAAAACCAGCGAAGAAAGTTGGGGATTGTATCACCCCTGATAAGGCTGAACTTTTGTCTGACGTCTTGTCACGTCGGCGTCCTTCACGGCAGTGTGTGACGTCAGACAGAAGTTGAGCCGTACCAAGGGTGATGAGGGCCTCAACATTTTTCACTTGTTTTGACTGCATTGTGGGGAAGCCTACGTCTCAGGGGAACCTTTAGCTCGGAACCAACGTACAGTACGCCCACATGAGAAGTTGTGACGTCAGACAAATGTTAAGCCTTAACAGGGGTGATAAGGGCCTCAACTTTTTTCGCGGGGTTTTGACCATGCATTGCGGGGAAGCCAACTTCTCAAAGAACACTTTAGCTCGCAATAAACGTACAGTATGCCCACGAGCCAAGGCGTGACGTCAGACGAAAGTTGAACCTTATAAGGGGTAATAGGGCATTAACTTTTTTCGCTGGTTTGGACCATGCAGTGCGCGGAAGCCAACTTCTCAGGGAAACATGTAGCTCTAAATAAACGCACAGTTTTGACGTCAGACAAAAGTTCAGCATTATCGAGGGCGATAAGGACCTCTACTTTTTCAAGTAGTTTTGATCCTGCATTGCGGGGAAGCCAATATCTCAGGCGACACTATAGCTCGGTGCAAACGTACAGTACGCCTACGTGACAAGGCGTGACGTCAGACAAATGTTAAGCCTTATCAGGGGTGATAAGGACATCAACTTTTCTTGCTGGTTTTGACCATGCATTGCGGGGAAGCCAACATCTCAAGTGACACTTTAGCTCGGTACAAACATACAGTACACCTACGTCACAAAGCGTGACGTCAGACAAATGTTGAGCCTTATCAAGGGTGATAAGGACATCAACTTTTCTCGCTGATTTGGACCATGCGTTGCGGGGAAGCCAACATCTCAGGCGACACTTTAGCTCGGTACAAACGTACAGTACGCCGTCAGACAAATGTTGAGCCTTATCAGGTGTGATAAGGATATCAACTTTTCTCACTGGTTTTGACCATGCATTGCATGAAGCCAACTACCCAGAGAAACCTTTGGCTCGAAACGTACAGTACGGCCACGTGACAAGGCGTGACGTCAGACGAAAATTGAGCCTTATCACGGGTGATAACGGCCTCAACTTATCGCTGGTTTTGACCATGTATTGCGGGGACGCCAAAATCTCAGGCGACACTTTAGCTCGGTACAAACGTAAGGTACGCCCACGTGACAAGGGGTCACATACACAAAAGTTGAGCCTCAGAAAGGGTGATAAGAGCATCAACTTTTTTTTGCTGGTTTTGACTACGCATTGTGGGGAAGCCAACTTTTCAGAGAAACCTTTAGCTCGAAACAAACGTACAGTACGCCTACCTGACAAGGCGTGATGTCAAAGGTTGTGCCTTATCAGGGGTGATAAGGGCCTCAAGTTTTTTTTTTTTTCCGCTGGTTTTGACTATGCATTTTGGGGAAGCCTTTTGCTCGAAACAAACGTACAGTACGTCCACATCAGAAGTAGCGACGTGAGACAAAAGTTGAGCCTTATCAGGGATGATAAGGGCCTCAACATTTTTAACTAGTTCTGACCATCTATTGCGGGGAAACCAGCACATCAGGGGAACCCTTTCATTATGTTTCTCCCTTTGTAAACACCACTGCGCCAATGACCCCAAGCAATAGGGTATGGACAGGCTGACCATACCCTAAGCAATAGGGTATGGTCGGGCGGACTTGATCAAACTCAGCGCAATGTCCCATTCTTCTGCTACGCTGAAAACCTTGTGGAACGCACAACTGCAGCAATGGTGTGTAGAGCGTCAGTACCCAACGCAATCAACGACTAAAATTGTGTCTCCGTGTTTGTCACCTAGAACAAATATATACAAAAAACAATGAAACTTACTGTTTATGAAAACTTACTGTTTATGAAGGTTTAGTCCTCCACTCAAAAGTCGAGCATCTCGAGAGTTTAGCTATGCGCCGGCATCAGCAGAGCACGAACGCCAGTAAGCCAGGCAACTGAACCATAACAGATAAAAAAAAAATGATACTTCCTGCTATGTCCTTGTGGGCCAGCCGGGATGCACCGTGGTTTCTGAACTTTTTAATTGCAGTAGACGTGCTACAATTTAACCGTGCTGCACCTTCGCTCACAACTCAAAAGAGAGATGCAAATGGGAAAGTCTATGACCTATCCACAGAGTGGAAATAGCCGCGCACCCAAGCTGTCCATGCGTAATGATCCCCTTGTGGCATTCCTTGCAGGGACCCTTAGTGCACAAGTAGTACCACGAACCCTTTCTTGCAAATTCACTAAGCTGAGCCAACACGGCATTTCGGAGCCCCCGCTTCATGCAACATTGAGTCTTTGACACAGTGACGCCTATACGGTATTTAGCGAGCTTGTGTGATGTCCTGAATACGTTGCCATTGATTTAAATAAAGGAATGAAAACCTTGTTAATAAGCTCGGGCGAATGCACCGGAAGGAACAGGAATCTTAACGGAATTCAAATGCGTTTCTCCCCACCTGGCCCCTCGTAACGAGCAACAGCTGGTCTTTTAGGGCGGAGCTGCAATGCAAGATCTAACACTCTCCAAGGGGGAGGGACAGGGTGGGGGAGCATGCTAGGAATGGCGCGAGAGGACGCTGGCGGGTGATTTTTGGTTCAAGTCGTAGTGTTCCTCGTTCTCGGCACACGGACGATTTCTGGTTGCTCTGGCTCAGCTGCATTCTTTTAAGTATTCGGGAGTTCAGGATCTCCCTTATTTCAATCTCTATTGCTGCCTCTATTGCTCGCGCTTAAGCGCGTCTACGGCGTGGTCACTTCCCATGTGCGCCCTGTCCCTTCATATATAAACGCGATGCCAAATCCACACGCCACACACACGGACGCGTTGTAACGCGTACATGTGATTAGGGCTTCAATTTTGAAGGACATGAATCAAACGGTGTTCTTCCCAAAAATTAATATACGTATTGCAGGTCTCCACGATCACTTGTGATCAAATTGCAAAGAAAGTAAACAGTCCTAAACGTGCATCTTAAGCTTTCTTGCCGTGCCACTGTGTGTGGCACGTAAGGCGCAGAAGCAAAGACTACAGAAAGACAAGGAAACGCCCAACAAAGAGATTTCTTTTAATACGCTTCAAATATACACTAAATCATACACCTCTCACGTTCGACTGGCCAAGCACAAAAGCGTCCGGAGAAACAGGAAGAAAAAAAAATTGCGATCCTCACTCGTAGAGTCGGCGAGAAAACCTTAAAGGCCGATTCTCCCCACCCCACCAAACCTCACAGTTGCATTGACAATAAAAAAACTAGTTGTATGTAACCACAACTGCAGAAACAAACTTTCTTCGGCTAAGGCGGTAACACCACTCAACACATGCATACCAGAAAAAAATCGCAAGTGCCACTCTTACGCACTCGGCACATCGCTAACTTTCTTGCCGCTGCTGAATTTGGCAGGACGGTTAAACCCCTTTCGAATGAACAAAGGTTGCAGCAGAGTTCAGTCACGGGCTGGACGCTGTACAACCTTTCAAAGAAAAAAAGAAACAAATAAAATTAAACTTCATTAAAAACCAGTACAAACTCTAGGGAGAGGAAAACGGAGCTCACAACGGACAGCCTACGCCTTTCTTTATGTACATGCGGAGGTGGTCATTGCCATATACAGCATTATATATATATATATAAATGTGAAGCAGTAATACAGGCATTACAACAGAAAAAAAATTGCTATCAACTCTTCACGACTCGAACCGACGTGACCAGCGCATGCCCACCGAAAGAAAAATGTACCTGCCTCGGCCACCAAAACGGGGGCATCGGCACAAGCCAAAGTGAAAGAGCGTTTTGTTATTGTCACCTGCCATTAGTCCAGTTTTGACTGCTTCGGCTGCAGGGGCGAAGGAAGAGAAATAACATTCACACTTCGCGGAAACATTGCGCCACGTTACGCGGTCGTAGCAAAGTCCCCAGCCTCTAACCAACCCCGCATATTCATCCCAAGTCGACTGGTTCGTGTTTGTGTGGAATGCTACGGCAGATAAAAAAAAGAGCGAGACTCTGGACATGGCCCTTTCAATAGATTACAGACATGAGACACGGACTGGCTTCGGGTCGCCGCGACACACCACCCCCAGCCACTCACGTGAAAAATTGCGAGCTGCGCTCCCGCTTAGTCAAACATCCTCAGTTCACCCCTGGTGGTCCTGCCTCGCAATCCCTTCCAGCCAAGCTGCATCCCAACTTTGGTCGCACAAAGACGCACGCCAGCATTCACACTGCCTCAAGCAAGGCTCGGTACAAAACATGCGATCTGGCACTGTTTCACTCATGCCCCCAATCAGTTTCACGCCTGCAATTACGAAAATTTTGACAAAAACGACGCTACACAACTTTAGCTGCTCCTCCATGAATGCTGTCCCTCTACTGCTTTCCAAGAGCTGGTGATGTGCTTAAGCGAGCCAATATGCAAGTTGAAGCATTTTCAACATAGCACGAGTTTTTCAGTGTAACACGCAAGTGAAAAGAAAACACTTTAATCGCTCAAAAACAAACAAGCAATCAAGGCAAGGTTCCCAAGGAGCCATACTTTGAGCAACAAGTCTAACAGCACAACATTGTACAGGCCCAGCAAATTGTAAGGAATAACCAAAACATCGAGCTGGTGACCAGGAAAGTTCATTTCTAGTCTCAGAAAGAGAATGTAAACTTCAGCTAAAAACTTCACAAGGGCCCGCCAAGAGTCCAGGAAAAGTACGGGCTCGGAGCTCAGCAGTATACAAGAAATGAAAAAGCAGCTCATTAACCTACATACACAAGAACAGTTCTTTATAAGACTTCAAAAGAAAATTGTTGCCAATATGAAAGCAGGTGACCGGTGTGGCCTGCGGCCCCACAGACAAACCAAAGTTGGTGGAAGACCACAGTGACACTACACCACAGTAGCAGCAGTGACATTGCTACACAATTACAGGGTCGTAAAAGAGGTTCTTAGAAGGGCCCCTAAAAAAAAACGTGCAAGATGTGGGAGTAACGTGGGTCACGTGTGCCAACAATCTTCAACGAAAAAGTGGGGTAGGGGAAGAAATGGCAGATGAAGCACTGCAGAAAGCAGCAGTGGAAGGGCACATTCCAATCCCGGCAGCCTAGGTGTGCGTCTGCCCGCTCGTGTGTCATGTTTTGTACCACGCGTGTACGTCTTTGTAGTCCTTCGCTGTAGGACAAGATGGAGAGAAACAAGGGGTGGCTAGGAGGCTCTCTCTGTCGTGATATTGGGGGGTGGGAATTGCGAAGGGGGAGGGGGTGGTTATGTCTCTCTCTGAATTAACAGCATCCGGAGCTGCGAGGCTGGACGGGCGTTCCTGGGTTGATCTTGCCGTCGCCGGCCCGCAGGTTCGCCTCTGTGGTTGGGGGTCCCATGCGGTTCTTGATCTCTGCCGCCATCGTCATGAACGCCTGCTCGACATTCGTGGCATTCTTGGCGCTCGTCTCTAGGAATGGAATTCCCAGCTGGTCCGCAAATTCCTGCGCAATGAGCACATGGGAGGTGAGCGTCGAGCAATGCAGCCCGTACCGTGAATTACCTCTTACCACTGGGATTAGTTTGGATAACATCACTTGCGATTTTATAACATGAATTGAGCACACCTTTGTGAACTTTGATATTTGTGCCAGAACGACTGTCATGCCGCCACAAAACTTTTCTCTTAACTCTTCTAGCCATGCAAAACGTTTTGTTTGAATGGTCATTTTCCTGGTGACACAGCAAGACGACGACAAGTGCTGTCTTGGCATCGGAGAAATATGAGCTCCATAGTTGCAGTGTTACATATAGCCCCATAAAAATGGGAATAAGAGGAACTGGCATCGCATTGCTGCTAACATCTGCCCATTTTTTGGCTGCATAACATTACATAATTAAGATAATATTATTAGCACAACAATAAAAAAAATAACCAGCCCTCAAAATATTAACAATGACATAGGGATCAACAGTAGAAAGCATAATCCACATAACTTAAAAAGCACTTTTTTTAGTCAATTTTTTACTTTACTGTAGAGTTAACTTCATAGCTCTGAATGTGGTCGCGCAGTGGTCACACAAAACGCCAATTTTAAAAAATTGCATGAAGACTACTGGAATTCTTTCTATGTTGTGTACTCCTAACATATACAGTCGCCAAACGTTTATTCGGACATGCCCATCTATTCAGACATTTTCATGGCACCGCCACTCTCTTCATTGATCATAATGTAAACTCGCGACCGAAAAATCGGACGCCCCACTGTGCGCCATTCGATTATTCAGACTCCGTTTGACCGCCGACACAGACGTTAACAATACGTTCACTAGGCTGCCAGCACTGATATGCTGCACTAGCTATGGGTGGACGTCAAGCCAGTGTCAAAATGCACGCAGAAATCACCATTGCCGGTCTCGAAGGCTATGTCCGGCTACGAGTTTTTTTTTTTTTATTTTAGCCAGTCGAGCAGCCAAGCCAAGCCACCTACAGAGTCTGTTCGCTGTGGCGTTTGGCGTGTGTCAGCGGTGTCAGTCAGCTGCTTCTGCGGCTAGGCCTGGTTCGTCTCGTTCTGTGTTCTCGCTCTCTTGCGTGTTCTGTGGCGTGCTGAAATGGCTCAGACGCCACCCGTTGCTACACCGTTGGGAGTGAAGAAACGTGGCCAACGTGGGAGCTACAAGACGCTCAATGATGGCGAAGAAAGTGGAGATAATTCTCCACTGAAGTGGCTCGGGAATTTTTCCATTTTCAAGCAAACAGTCACGTAAGCATGCGCGTGTGCAGACTAGACAGTTTTATCGGGCGATAGGGCCTATAAAAGTGCTTTTTTTCAAGTGAATCCGTTTTTCCGACTCCTGATTAATCACTTTTCGGTGGTTCCCGTCGAGTCCAAACGAACGGTCGGCGACTGTAGCTTCATGCTGTAAAAAGAATCATTCTGCTCTCTGTAATAATTTCCAATATATTGCCCGAATCGTCATGCAGGGTGCACGAAATTGTCAAGAAACAAAGAACTCCAACATTTTTTAACTATAAAAGTCTGTGTACTTAGAAAGTCTGTACTTAGAATTCCATAGACATATATAGACAACAGGGAAAGTGGTCAAAAACCATGTTCTGAAAAAAATCAAACTATATCAAACTATTTCAACGTTTTCGAGTGAGAAATGTCATGGCACACATACTTTTAGTTCGTTAAGGGGGGGCGCGGCAAGTAAAGTGCCGATTTTGGTCAAAATATGCGATTTTCTGATTTATTTTTTTTCGTAATCTTCAGACCTTCAACTTCCTTGTTCTAAAATATTACAGCGAAACGTGCGCTACAAATCCCGCAAATAGTGTTTTTGCCGAGGCTAGTCGCCGAAAAGTGCGAAAAAAAAGCCCCTGAAACGGTGTTGTTCACGCCGCACAAACGCGCCAAGTTGTTGACCGTGGGCCGCCATTTTGGTAGCTTTGGAAAGAGGAGAAAGCCGGCTTCCTGATGGTCGCGGTCTCGTATTTCGCCGAGTGAAAATAAAAGCGCGAGGAGCAAGTAAAAAAACGAAAACGAAGAACGGCAATTGGCTGCGCGGGTCACGTGGTAGCAGGCGCGACCTCTTACTGGTCAAAGCTGCGCCGCGCACCTTGGCAACCTTGGAAGCGCGAGCGCATCTGCGGCCGCCGTGTCGAGAATCATCCGGCGTGCGCTTCGTTTTTTGCCAGTTTGCTGTTTTTGTGATAGTTCGCGTGCTTTTTTTACCAAGCTTTGTTACATCGGTGGTCTCTTCTGAGTGCTTGCTCATACTGCGGTGCTATGTTGCCGCAAAAAAAGTTCCGGAGCGTCCACAAGTACGGCAAGCGTCGGAAAGCTTGGAACAAAGGGCAGACGACTGCGGCTGCCGTCCCAGTCGCAGTTCCGGACGGAGCATGCTCTTCAAGCGTCACGGAGCCTCTACTCGGACCCTTCGCTGATTGTTGTGAGGCCGAGAGTGTGGAAGGTGCCACATCGTCGTATGTCAGACCGCCGGATGCCGTCGACCGTGATGGACGCTCTCGCGAACCCGATTGCGGTGGCACCGCGTCGGCAGCCGTTGAAACTCCGGGCGTGCGCGCGTCGAACATTATATCGCGAGTTTCGGCCCAGATTCCGAGCAGTGAAGAAATCGCGCAGCGGGCGCAGACAAGGCGGGATGTTTTGGATGCCGTAGCATCGAAGTCCGCTTCAAAGCGGAAGCTCGAGCTTCTGAACGAAGGCTGCGACGAAAATGACGGCGGTAAGGACTCCACATTCTTCATTGTAAATAAGAAGATGCTGAACGGTCTGCTTTCGTCAGTAAAGTGCAACAAGTGCGACGAAGGGTCGATACGCCTCGAGACTACGCACTGCCTTGGACTCGCGGCGAGGATGGAACTTTTTTGTGACAATTGTGGCAGAGTGAACAGTGCGTGGTCGTCCCCGAGGTGCTCCGGGCAACAAAAAACGAACCCCTTTGAGGTAAACGTGCGTGCTTTGAGGGCTGTGCAGTCAGTTGGCAGAAAACAATCTGCCATAAATGACATTTTTTCTGCGATGGACATTTCGCATCGAGCACTGCACCACAAGTCCTACCAGAGACTGCAAAGGAAGTACAGCCACCCTGCCACCACATCAGCTGCCACCCGCATTGAAGCAGAAAGTGCACAGAAGGTGCATGACATTTACAAGGACCTAGGAGGAGTGCCAGGCAACATTGACGTCATTTACGACGGCACGTGGATGACGAGGGGGCACAGAAGTCATATTGGCGTGGGCTGTGTAATCGAGCTGTACACAGGCTTGGTCTTGGACCACTGTGTCCTGTCCAACTACTGCCAAGGCTGTGCTGTTGGCCCCAAGCCTGGTGACAACTATGAGGAGTGGCTTGAGAAACACAAGCCACAGTGCCAAAAGAACACCGATGCTAATGCAGGCCAAATGGAAGTAGAAGCAGCTAGGATCATGTTTGAAAGATCGTTTACCAAGTACAAGCTTCGATACATCAATGTGCTCTGCGACGGTGACAGCCGTACGTACCTTGCCCTCACGCAAGACAAGGTGTATGGCTACATGGTGATTAAGAAACAGGAGTGTGTGAACCATGTGAAAAAAAGAATGGGCACTTCCTTGCGCAACCTTCTTGATGAGCACAAATCCAAAGGCCGAGGACTGAGCATGGGTGGCAAAGGCCGGCTGACGCAGGGCCTGATAAAGAAGTTGACGAATTATTATGGCTGGGCCATTAAGAGCCACCCCAACGATGTTCCTGGCATGGAGAGGGCCATCATGGCCACTTATTACCATGTAACATCCACAGACCAGGATCCACACCACAACCTGTGCCCAAGTGGGACTGACTCCTGGTGCCCGCACAATCAGGCATTGGCCAAGGGAGAGCCGCTGCCGCCTCACAAACATAAACTGCCCCCTCACGTGCGAGTGGCACTGCTGCCAATCTACAAGCGCCTCTCGAACAAAGAGCTCCTTGAAAGGTGTGCGCAGGGAAAAACCCAGAACGCTGTGGAGAGTATGAACAGCCTCATTTGGTCACTCCAGTCCAAGAGCCAGTTCGCCTCCCTTCGAAGTGTGGAAAGTGCAGTTGCAGATGCAGTCTGCCGTTTCAATGGTGGCTGCAAGAGTGCGCTGCAAGAGATCACTGCTCAACTGGGCTTCAATCCAGGAGACTGCTCTTTGCGGCGAGCAGCCGAAAAGGATGCCAAAAGGGTAAAGAGGGCTCAAAAGGCGCATTGTTCCACGACAAAGAAGCGCAAAACTGGGTTGCGCTCTACAGAGGCCAAGGCCACAGCATCTCAGGATTACTGCCCAGGAGGATTCTGAGTGTTTTAGGCATGTTGTGAACTTCCAAACAAGAGTGAACTTTCAAAGTCAGTTTTCTCAACTCTTGATTTTCGCCTATGTGCCTTCGCTAGAACATCTGTCATTTTCTAACAAAGACTGATAGAGTCGTTCCGTTTTTTGCACTAGGCTCAGGAGGCCTTTAGCAGTGCAATAAAGCTTTATCTCTCTTCTTACTCATCATTTAAAATTTTTAGAACACATTTTATAATTACTGCGATGTGTGCGCAAAACAACATCCATGTTTTGGAAATTTTATTTATGGTTACAAGAACTAGAAAAATCAACTAATAGCTTCTTTGCACAAGTTGATGCTTTGGGAACATAATAATATGAAAAAATAATTTCATTTAGCAATAATTATCTCTTTAAGTGTGAAGAGCATTAATTAGTATAATTATGCTTGTAACTCAAAAAGTACAAGAGGTATTTGAAAACGGTTTTCATATTTGGAATCCTCACAATCATCCACATACACACACCAAATTTCATCACAAACAGTACATTAATAAAAAAATTAGTTTTACTTGCCACGTCCCCCCTTAATATGCACTGGGCAATGTAATCAGGCCGATTGTTTGCATGAGCATGTCGTTTCTTTAAGTTCTGCAACAAGTTGTCGCGGTGTCCTCATCTGCCGACAAGGCCGCATATCAGTTCGGTGACGGTACTGAAGCCGATTTGCCACAAATGTGCGCATCACCCAAGATTCGTCAAATGACACATCGATGCTTTTTGGCTTGTCCATATTGAGTTACACATAGATAATGTTGCAAACCGAACACGCCCAGCAAATTTCGAGGCTACAAGCTTCACTTCAGCTTTCTTTTTGCCATCCTCTGTGTGGTCTGCAAAATTTGAGTGTCGTTGCACACAGGATCACCTTCAGCGACGTTGTCGGCAACCGACGACCTCTTAGACCCAGTGTCTATAGGGTCTACCCCGGTGGTTCGGCAGCCGCTTCGCTGACCGGTGCAAGTCCGTTATGTTCCTTGTCCTGGGTCATTCCAGGCCTCTTCCTGGAGCTCTCGACAAGCAATCGCCACACAAGCATCACTAATTTTTGTGGACCAGAACTTCTTGATTGCAGTAGGCAGTTAACTGAACCACAACAAAACGGCGCACGCGCGTGCAGGTCTCCACCATAAAGCAGACAACACAAACACTACTTGGCCAATCGGATGCCTAGGTTTTGTCACGAGCCCCAAGCAGCCAAAAGCCACGCGCTGGTACTTCTCGATGACCCGTTTTTGCTGAAAAACGAATGAGCAAGGCGAGCCAGCGGTGGGGGGAAATCGAAGATGAAAAACTGCTCTTCCAAACAACACCAAGATGATGATGATAGCTCATGTGTAACGGCATCGGTTGGGCATGAAAAAAAAAAAAGTGCAACTTTAGAGTCAATTTCACTCACATTAATCTCATAGGGGTGTTACAGTTTTCTCACCAAAAATAACAATTCGAAAAGCTAGAAACTTTTCAGATAAGTGCAAAAATTGGTACAGATTCCGAAAAGGTTATCTTCAAAAAGTATTTTTTTCTTCTATATTTTCGGCTTTCCAAGACCTGTGTCTTCCCTGAACAAGCATAATGGCCACGTATTAAAAGAACAATGGGTTATTAGGTGCCAAACTGCGCTTCAGTCAGCCGCTTCGTGCAAAACAAGTTCTGGGCAATCAAAAGCACCGAAAGGCTTAAAAACCCAGTACAACAACCACAACAAACTGCAAAGGACAGGCTCGCATAGCCAAAGGAACAGTTGCTGGGAGGGACCATAATTATTTGTCATTCCCAAAAGTGCATGTCATCATATCAAGTCCATAACACCACAAGGCCACTGCTCTACTTTAACTCCCAAATGCCCTAAAAAGGTCTCTCAAGAAATGAGAGCTGCATTACTACATTGTCCCTAAAACACCCAGAATAAAGTAGTGTTATGAACAATGCAGAATCGTTTACTGCACACAAGCAACATAAGGAGCACAAAAACGCCTCACAAATAAAAAAACTGACCCGGAAAAAGCTTACGAAATGATCTTGGCTTTGCCCTGAGTAAAGTTTGGGGCCAGATATGATGAAGTATATGGAACTAAACTAAAACTACTACAAAAGAAAACGGGAAGAATTCCAAGAGAACCTAGAGTCAAGTCTCTGAACCACTGCATTTGTTTTCAAGTGGCACAAAGGGTTAGGTTCACTGTATGGTATTTACATACTGCATCTGAAGAGCACCCTCAACCTCCTTTCAGATCTGCACCTGTGCTCAAATAATCACAATGTCACCAAATTTCACGCCATTCAAGCATTACCCCAATATGTTTCAGTAATGAAACAATTGAGCACCATGGTGGTGCTCATGTAGTTCCAACATGAAGGCGCAGATCACTGACAAAAATAAAAGCGGGACTTGCCTTTGCTGTTGTGTAGTCGACTACCTTCTTCGTCGTGAGGTCACACTTGTTGCCGACCAGGAGCTTGTTGACATTCTCGCAGGCATAGCGGTCAATTTCCTGAAGCCACTGCTTGACATTGTTGAATGACTCCTGCGAACGAGAGCACACGATAAATGAAATAAATTATTCATCAAACCAGTCGGTGGCAGAGTCAAAATATCAGCAAACCACTTCCCTGTTCCTTTAAAGAGGAACTTGGGTCTTAATCGTTTTTGTTCAATCTTCCCTAAGGCTCACCATGTAGGCAAGTTCTTCATGAGAACTTCAAGTCTGCAATTCGCTTCTTAAACAATGACTCTTGAGAGCCACCAAAACGATGCATTTGCTTTGCAATTGCTATGTTGCAACGAGAATCTCGTACTCCTGTTGTAACCCTCACCATCAGTGAAAAATTCCCGTGAACAAGGGTGCACTTTCGCGTGCACTCGTTTTTCAGACATTTTCGTGGTCCCTGAAGGGTCCAGGAAATCGGACGTCGACTGTATATCGCCAGCGACTTCTTGTGCTAATTTTGCAATGTGATATTGTTTCACAGTCCATTTTTCTCATGCGCGCACACACTCACACAAATACGTACGACTCTCTACTTGGGATTTATTGCAGAAAATTGTTATTTGGTGGGTGACTGAGTCATAGGCCATTTCAAATTATGTCCCTTACACAGTCATTACGAGGTACTAACGAAGCACCTTGGCTGGCAACAATCCTCAAACCTTTAAATAGGAACCCGAGTATGTGGGACCAATGTGAGAAGTGTGAAGTGTGGCCCAGAGTGAAAAAAAAACAAAAATAACTGGCTCCTTCCAGGACAGCATGTCAGCTTTCAGACATCCAAGGAAGAAAAAACATCACAGAAGGTCATGTGTAGATGTATCATCATGCTGACTGCCTCGCCAGATGAAGCCAGTTTCTTGGTAAGTACGGGCCAGGAATTTTAAAGTTCCTGCCATTAACACCCTATTTACAAGGTTTATCCGGACCCACCAGCCTTTGCACTTGATATAACCTAGAGGGGCCAACGCAAAAAAAAATTGCAAATATAGAGACTAGTTGACTTTGCATCCTTAGAACAGTTGCACCATATGGGGAGGAATAATAGGCAAAATTTTATGTACTCAAGACACGATATAAATATGACGCATACCACAGTAGCAGTTTAATATCGTCAATCTGAGGTCCTAAACCTAACTGCCCTAGCACTGTTTCTTTTGCATTGCATCGACATGCGACCAACCATGACTAAAAATCGAACCAGCGTCTGAGCTAAGCAGTGCGATCCACCTAATTAGCTGGGCTACTACAGTAAGTTTGGCAGTCTCACACAACAATATTGATCTGGTTCGTTCGTGCTTCATTCGTGGGAAACTGTGCCAAACGCTTTCCCATCGAGAAAGACGTCAGAAAAGTAGCATGCATGTTTTGTGCCCTGGACATACCAGGAACGCAATATTAAAGCAAGAAAACTTGCGCACACCACTCTGAGACAATGAGACTCCACAAAGGATGAAACTGCTTGTGGCAGTGTATAAACAAGCACAACTTCATAACAATCAGTGGTGGATGCCACGCACCTGATCCGTGACGTCGTAGGCAACAATGATGCCGTGTGCCCCCCGGTAGTAGCTGGACGTGATTGTGCGGAACCGCTCCTGCCCTGCTGTGTCCCACTGTGGAAGACAAGTTGCACAGGTTTGGAACACGCAAGAGACAATGAGCTGCGTACCAAGGCCACAACTATTCAACAAAGCTTCACTAAAGAACACTGAACTGACGGTGACAACACATCAGAATGGTATATGTTGATATATGCAGTAGAATATTGCGCTACATGGCTGGAACAAGGCGCGACACTCGCGAAGGCACAGAAAAGAACTTGCCAGAACTGGTGGGCGCAAAACTGTCAATTGTGGATATTTTTTTAGGCGCAACTTCGGGCCGCCCCACGAAATATGCAAAGGGAAACGAGTGAAGGAGTGAAAGCGGAAAAAAAGTTAGCAGCCGATAACAAAAGTCAAACAGCAATCAAGAAAATATTGCTCATGTCAACCCTGCGCAGCACTCTTCAGCTAGCTCGCCTTTGCAAGGGCCGGAATGTGTCGCTTATGAATTCTGCTTTGCTTAGCGCCAAAGACGAGTGCTCTACGCATGCGCCGAACTATCCCAATGCCATGTTATAGACCTCAACTATTTCCCTCTTCTGTTTTCTTTGCATGGTAGAAGACCTTAGTCTGATCAAACATCGCCCTGCATTGGGTACATGAAGGTTTAGTCTGACCAAGCGAAAGCCGAGAGTTGGTAAGGACTCATCGTAAAAGAAGGCAAACAAACAAGCACACAACACCGGAAATAAAAGAACCAGGGGTACAATAAAACCTTAAAACAAAAAAATCTTATCTCGCATGACTATATAAAAAAAAACTGGCTCATTCCAGGACAGCATGTCAGCTTTCAGACATCCAAGGAAGAAAAACCATCACAGAAGGTCAAGTGTAGATGTATCATCATGCTGACTGCCTCGCCAGATGAAGCCAGCTTCCTGGCAACTATGGGCCAGGAACTTCACAAGTTCCTGCAGTTAACACCCTATGCAGTTAACACCCTATCTACAAGGTTTATCCGGACCCAATGCAAAAAATTGCAAATACGGAGACTAGTTGACTGCATCCTTAAAACAGTTGCACCATATGGGGAGGAATAATATGTAAAATAAAGTTTGTGGAATACCCAAATGCAAAAATGCAATGACTGAAAATTGCACATCTATTGCAGCACGTGTGATCAGGGCCCGGACTTCTGCAATACCAGTAGTGTCCCTGTCCACCACTGACAGACATTAGTCATGGGGCTTAAGGCCTTTGGATTTCTTGTATGTTGGTTGTCACAGCAGCAGGAGATAAAACCTGTTTTTGTCTAGAAGTTTTGTTATACACATGACAGACACAACAGTTACCAAACCATTGAGCATGCAACATTGCTACCTCAACTTCTCAAATGCGGCTTGCAAGCAAACAGAGAAATGTCCCCACCTTACCAATACATATCTTGCACCGTAGCCAGCCGAAGCATTCAAGAACCAAGCACAGACCAAACCAAATCTAAATTAGACCTGGTGCAGTATTCAAACCAAGGCACTTCGACTCCAGCTCATATCCTTCTTTGTAAAATAGTGCAAAAAAACAAATGGACACTGCAAAAAGGGGCGATGTCTTTTTTTTTTACACTATTTTACAATGCATTACCACCTAGCTCAACTTTCTGTACTACTTCAAATCCCTCCTTAACATGGAGATCTTTTCTGCATCCGAACTACTTAAGGTAATTATTACTGAACTAATTAAGATGGTAATTATTACTGCGAACTTTTTACTGTGCACTCGGACCCCAGCCTTTATCAGACAGCCAAAGGAACGGATTGGGCATACAGTCACAGCCAATCATTGCCAAAACACTTGAGTCATCATGTAGAGTCTGGCACCCTCGTGCACAAGTTCTTGGTGAATAAGATCAATTAGCCTATCAAAGCAGTGTGACGCATTAAAAAAAATAAAGTTGAGAACTGGTTCCTAATTGTACTCACCGACACCATCAGCACTGAGCACTGTTTCTAGCTGTTTCTAGAACTCCACAGTGTTACCAGACAAAGGAGAGAACCAATGTTGAGATACGGATTTTACATTCCTGCCTATTGAGCATCACCAGCTTTCCAAGATTAAACATTACAGTAACTGCAAGAAAAGCTACAATGGTTTGAAGACCAAGCATGAAACAGCTTACTGCAGGATGTGCAAGACCGCGCGATGCTTATGTCAAAAGCATAAGTCAGGAAAACTCTGAAGCTCACTATTAAATATATTTTGAGCTTTGGACTCGCTCGAACTCAGACTCACGAAAACTTTCCCCAGATGGACCCACTCGGACTCGCACTCCCAAAAGTTTTCTTCAGCCGAACTCGCTCACTCAAACTCACGAAAACAACATTACTCATCCGGACCGACTCCAACTCAGACCCAAAGCTCGATCAAAGTCTGAGTGAGTGCGAGTGAGTCGACTAACGAGTCTGTCAGCCTAGAATTGGCTTTTTTGACGGGGGTGTCAACGTTCTTTAACACCAATATTTCACGTAGTCGATGCTCTTCTGGGTGTCGTTTGACATAGTGTTTACAAAGACGAGTTTTAAGTGCCTCCAAACCAGTAAAGTCATTAGTCTTGGAAGAGATGACAGCATAAAATACAGTAATAGAGAAATTATAAGAGCGGGGAAGAGGGGGCAGAATCAAGGCACCCCTTTACATAATTCACGCCACCAATTAATAAATACTGAAACGCTGCATGAACAACACTGCTTTGAATACCTGTGAGTAGACATAAGTGTACAGGACATAAGTGATGAATCCAGGTAAGGCTGATAATAATGCTGAAGATGACTAGATTGGACTTTAGGTCGGCAAAAGAAGGTGAAACTCACTGAGACTCAAGAAATACACCTTGCACTTTGGACTCACTCGAACTCAGCCTCAGGAAAATATTACTCACTTAAACTCACTCAGACTCACGAGTGAGTTCGCCGAGCTATGGTCAAGAGGGACGAATTCGCCACACGGCATGCCCGATTGTAGAGCTTGAAGCTAAGCTCCAACGCAAGGCGCCTTTGCTTTTACTGTGCACTCGGGCTCCAGCCTTTATCAGACAGCCAAAGGAACGGATTGGGCATACAGTCACAGCCAATCATTGCCAAAACACTTGAGTCATCATATAGAGTCTGGCACCCTCGTGCACAAGTTTACTGACACGCATTAAAGAAAATAAAGTTGAGAACTGGTTCCTAACTGCACTCATCGACACCATCAGCACTGAGCACCGTATCTAGAACTTGCCAGAACTGGTGGGCGCAAAACTGTCGATTGTGGATATTTTTTTAGGCGCAACTTCGGGCCGCCCCACGAAAGATGCAAAGGGGAACGAGTGAATGAGTGAAAGCATCTACAGCAGAATTATGTTTTTACAAATTTCTATTAAGGTGGTAGGCTACCTTCTAAAGACTTTTTTTCGCGAAATAAATTTTTATGGCTTTGTTTTTCTTGCACGCCCAAACATTCACATACATGTTGCAACAAAAATTAGCTCAAAATGCTAATGAGGGAACAGGATATGCTCTGGCCCCCGACTTGGTAATATTGATAAAGACCTTTGCCGCAGGGGGCCCATGAAATCTGGCAGGGCATCCAGAAAATCTGCGTCCTGACATTGCACCGTGCATGGGCCTCTACCATTTGACCACCATCGAAATGTGGCCGCCGCCGCAGCTGTGATCGAACCTGTGACCTTCGGGCCAGCACCTGAGCACTACTGATCTATGGTGTGGACCATCTTGTGCATGGTGCTGCGAGACGGGATGTACATTACCACTTCCTACTTTGATCACAAGGTTAAAATAGTGCCTATATGCATGACCGCAAGTTTGCCTACACCAGAGCAGGAAGAGGAGACAACACTGGCAGTTTTACTAAATACTGTGGCAGATTCCTTCGATTGTACTCAAACAGCGATATAACGAACCTGGATAAAATTAAATACTGGTTATAACGAAGTGAATGAACAATGATCTTTCAATAGATAGTGTTAGAAATATACCTTTAGCACGAATTTTCGGATACTATAACAAACTTATTTTCGTGTAAGATGCAATTTCGCCAAAATGAGATACGAGTATGTTATTATAAAATAAATAAACACAATTTGGCCTCTCAAAAAGCCTTATTCTATCTTTAATATGCTAGCAATGGAACTACTTTTCCATAAAATGTTCATTTAAAAACAGATAGAGTGCCCATTAGGTGGTAATACCTGAACATTTTGGATATTTAAATTTCTTTTTACTTTCCAAGTAAAAGCATGTTTCAAAAAATTAGTTCCATTTGATCCCTCCATTTAATTTCTGGCAACTTATCTCCTTTCAACAAAGTTTTGGTTTTAGTACTTGCATGCGAAAACCAACTTTGCACATGACAATTCGAGAAGTTATGCTATGTTCTAGGAGATGAAATACAGAGTGCAACATTTTCGTCTGAAAAAGTCTTAGCTTAACATGCAGCAGAGCCTGAACACCTTGGAATTCTTATCCGATAATCTCGCCCTATTCAACGAATTTCTGCAGTCCTGTATTTCCCAATACAAAGAAGACTAAATAATGTGAAGCCTCATTCCACAACTGGGTGCTATGAGCAATTCCAGATTTCCCCACTAACTATCCAGTACGACAGCCCCATAGAGCAATAAGGCCATGCCACACAGCGATAATGACTAACAGGGGAAACAGCCAGCCTCAATGCTGACAGTGCAGAACAGACGTCTACAGTTTATACAAGTTTACTGCATTGCTAAATTCATCCCCAATGGGGAAGGTGGGCTTCACTCCGCTGCATGTACGCAAGTTTCTAAATCCTTTGCTGTGCGCTCGAGTCCCCGACTTTCTCAGACAGCCAAAGGAACGGATTGGGCATACAGTCACTGCCAATCATTGCCGAAACATTGCGTCATCATGCCAAGTCTGGCACCCTCGCGCACAAGTCTCTAATTAACAAGGATACCTAACCAATCAAGGCGACATCATGCACTTCAGCTTGAATGAGTTGTGAACTCTGCCCAAATGCACTCACTGGACATTGTT